CCCCAGCCTGTCACATCTTTCATCTATACTAATACCAATATCTCCTTTCTCATTTGTGCTAGCGACTGTACTACTACCTCCAGCACCTACATCACTTATTGAGAACGTTACAAAACCTCTCTTAACGTAATCAGTTAGTCTACATTAAATCTTTTATAAGTCTGGATATAAATGCTTCATATCTACATGATGCTAAAACTGAATTTATTATAAGATTCCAATTGAAATAGTGTATTTCATAACTTAGGTATGCCAAGGCTGTCCTGGGGTTTTTAACTGTCTGGGCGTTTTTTCCCTCACCCTCTTTCAGAGGGTGGGTATAGGTAAAATGGCCTTGGCACGAGAGCCAACCTCACACCCACGGGTAGCCGCCCGGATGTCAACAGCCAGTGGTCTCGAATCACCGGTAATCAAGAACCAGAACCTCACCGCTCTGGGCCATATCATGGCTTGCATGGACAACGGGTACCACACCACACAGTATGTCGTGGAGTGAGGAGGACGAGCAGGAGAGAAATGTTGCAAGAGTGGGGCACCTGTGGCAAACTGTGTTTATCTTCCATCCAATCACGGACTTCCATTGCATCTCTATCATTCCCACCCTCACCACACAAACATGCCGTCCTCTCCCTCGCGACTCGCGAGGCCCTGTCGGTAGGTTGCTCCCGGACACCCCCCAAATTGTCACGCGAAGGGACATTGCGTCAGACGCTAGACTGGCGCGCAATTTCCTCCACGTCGAAATGCTTTTGTTTATTAGGGTTCGCATTTTTGATATTTATTCGCAGCCCCCCATTTTTGCTCTTGCCGCTCCTTATTTTCCATCCATCCAAATCAACGCACCCTTCCGCTGGTCCGCGCTTGTTCGTTTCGTCCCGTCAGGTCAGGATGAGTTGGATTCACGGTGCTGCCCAAAAGACACATCGACAAAGCAGCCAACAAACATCCAGTGCTCACAAAGTATACGATTTGATAGTACGCTGCAGCACGTCTCATGTACACTTACACCACTCAATTGGCGATCGTCAGAAGCATTCCCTTTTGTGTTCGATCGGTCGATTTCACCGTGCCCTATTCCGGGAGCGCAGACGTCCATTGTCAGATTTCCAGCGACAGGAACAAGGGTGGCGCTGGTTTTGTCCGACTTCATTGACACCAATGACGTAAGGGTGGGCGGGACAGAATGAATGATGGAATTGGTGGTCTTGAGAAAAGCGAGGTCTTCTCATACGGCAGAATTCGCACCGTGTTGAAAAGTTCCCAATTCTCATTGCAACCACTGAATTCCGCTTGGCTCTGCAACTCTGCAACTGCAACTCTTTCTGCCAGCAACAACAACAACCTGAACAACTGGTCCAGGCCAGCTGCCAGTTGCCGTGGTTCCCATTTTTGTCTCCTCTCGCGGTCGCCCATTCGCCAGGCTAGAATCTAAGTTTGGGAAGATAAACAGATCCGTCGCGCGGCTCTGGGAAAATATCGAATATCACCACAAAAGTGGGCTCGCGTGCTCCATCCAGTATCGACAAAAGGCCCGCAGTTGTTATCGGATTCTGGCGCGGTCATCGGGAAACCTGGCGCCCTGTGTTGTTCATACGCCGCAAGCTCTGTGGTACAGTATAGTCTTCAGGGAATGGGGATGGATGGGCTTTCAACTTGGGGGCATGAACCGTGTGTTGTCCTCGAGGTTTGCCAGTTAAGCCAAGTAGTCTGGCAGTCAACCCCTTTTTTTACCTTTCCTTTCCTCTGACTTTCCCGTACCCCCCTAACTAGACCCCCGGTGCCCCTATGACGCACTTGCATGGAAATTGGGCATGCACGCTGCACTGCATGGACGCACCAAGCGGCGCCACTTGGCCCGCGCGACCGTGACTTTGAAGCGAAAAAGGCTTCATTCAGCCGCTCTCATTGGCTTTTCCTCTCTTTCACTTGTTTCGTTCCAGTCTCCAGCAGGCCAGCACAGGCACACAACCGCAGACCCAAAGACCCAACGCTCCAGGAACTGAACACAAAAGACACCCATCCACGTTTTCTTGACAGATCTTGACTCTTGCTCTGAACGAGCCTGTTCCCTAACAATTGGTCATCCCTCATGGCGTCTGCTTGGTAATTGAGCGAGAGAGATCTGGATCCCGCACCTTTGGCGTCTTCTCACGGCTTAACGATGAGGGATTGGCTAACAAGCTATTGAAAATTGCGGGTCCAGGGTACATAGCGCGTTTCGGCCTTTCAAACCAACGGTCGACAACTTCCAGAACAGTACGACAAGTACGCCGGACCGGTACTGATAATTCACCACAGACAACCGCTGGAATAATCCCCGGGCGAATCAGCTTCCTTTTTCGAACTTTTCTCTGATGGCACCTCACTATGCAACCACGACCGCACGGTAAGGAAAAAGACAACAATGGGACGAAAAATGGGAGAAATGACCGGTTTGGGCATGAGTCTCCGATGCCGACCTTTTTGCTGGTCATAGTAGTCATGGGAAATATGGACATCAACACAGCACGAAAAAAAAACATATCATCCCATCATGTTCCAGCCTTCAGCTTGGCCCGCTGGAACGTCAAGGACTAGGGAAGAGCAACCGGCCACCTTGCTTAGTTTGGTCCTCGCCAACTTCGCTTTCGTCAAAAGCTCCAGAGCATCCCGACTTTTCGCACTGATTGGATGGTTCCGGATTGCAGCGCTTGAAAGGAAGAGGTGCCGCCCTCTTCCGGTGCGGGGATGGCCGCGCCGCTGGAGACGGAGGCCGGCTCCCCGATGTTGGCACACCTCTCCCCTCCTTTCAGCGGCCGGCACCTGACCAAGGCCGGCGTACCGTGTGGTGAATGAAGTCACCGTACCGACTGAGAGAGGGGGTGAAGGGCAATCCAGCCGCACAAACAATAGTGCTCTGCAAGTGCTGTTGGACGCTGTCGATCTCATCCATTTTCCCTCGGCTTCTCTTTTATTCTCCCCGGAGCGCTGGCCTACACTACACTATAGCAGAGAGGTTGGAAGCCTATCACGAGCTCGCTGTTGCGTTGCAGAGACTCTTGACTTGGTGTTGATGCGAAATCTCACAAGTGCGTTTGATGAGAGAAGAAGACCTGGAAAACATGAGATCCTGTCATTTGATGAACGACGTCCTAATTGCTAACAGCTTGCAATAGCCGCACGAAAAAAAAGAAAAAAAAAAAAAAAAAGACCTAGCAGCCAAAATAGTGCCAAAGACCCTGTGGGGGTACACAGGTCCAAAGCGAACTTCACGACAGATGGTCAACGTCGAAAGTTGCTGAAGCTCAACCCAAGGTGGTTCACGCAGTAATTTGAAAACATCAAACAAGAGGTAATCCGAAAAACTGTCAGCCAACTACATACGTAGTAGAGCCGCCGACGTCAGTCAAAGAAGACCTTTCCAGGGACCACCGATGACTTGCCGTTAGAGGTAATCATAGGGCTGAATCTTACTTTCAGATCTCAAGTGGTGACGGGTTGACCCTGGCGGTTACGCCCTTAGCCGAACTCCTCGGTTGATCTTAACACCCCAATGACCATATTTAGGTGCTGAATCTGTTCGCCTACCTTCTAAGCTCATGTCGAGCAGATATCAGGCATAGAATTTCTCGCATCGTGTGTCCAGAATTTCTTCTCAGAAATGAAATCTGTAGGCCTGCGACTTGATCGCAACCGAAGGAGAACGAGATCAGATGGTCGGCTCTTTGGTTACAGAGAACATTCAAACCGCGTGACACCACTCAGCTGTCTGAGAGCAAGAACACCCAACCAACCGAGTCCATCGTTCATAGTCAAGCAGTGAGCATCAATGCTGACTTCACGGGCAACATTAGAGAGAGCTTCTTCACAGGTTCATCCCAGAGCTCCGAGTTCCTCGCCACTAGGGATAGATCTCTTCCACTCAGTTTCATTTAAACTAACAAAACCAACCAGCATCACTTATCACTACGGTCTCCGGGTACATGGGCCAAACCTTCACAAGCTACTCGCAACCGCCTGCGACGATGGCTTCACCCGGAACCCGTGCCTAGGAGCATGCACCCTCACGCCCTTCTCATTCTCAATCACCACCTCCCTGGCATCCAAACTCACCAACTTGCCAACATCCCTATGAGCCTGCCCCGACCCGCTATCCGTCGGCCACACCTCCACCACCGTCCCCTTCCTCAGGCCATGCAACTTTACAATCGCCTCTCCAACATCCACCCCCTTTGTTTCCAAGTCCTTCTCATTCCACCCCGCACCAAGAATCATCTCCTGCGCCTTATCGCCCTTGACCGTTGTGATCAGGGGGCCGTCCTTCTGAGGAGGCTTGGTCTTGGTAGTCTCGCCAACAGCCACCCTGAACCTCTCCACCCACTTCCACACCCTCGGAAACTTCTCCTCGCTAAACTGCTCCTTCGGCAACGCGCCCGGTAAGCTCTTGACCCAGTGCAGCACAAACACTGCTTCAATGTCCGCCAGCCCCGGCTTCTGGGTGTCCTTTAGAATCCAGTCACGTCCATCGGCAAGCACCGTCGTCTCCAGCATCTGGCAGTAATCTCTGAGATCCGCGAGCGCCTCGGGACCTAGCGCTGCCATGTCTTCCTTGGCGAACTTGGGGGGAGCGCCGCCTCCCGTGGCAAGCTCGGCGCGATCAGCAAGGAATTTGGGGTCGCGCAAGAGGGGGTTGTCCAAGGAAAACAAAAGCTGCGCGGCGCGCGAGAAGAGACCGCCGTCTATGGAGTAGTGCGAGAGGAGACGCTCAAGGGCGAGGCCGTCGGTTCCAGGGGCCGCGGAGAGTTTGGGTTGAGAGGAGGACGGAAGATCAAGTTCTTCGAGTTTGGACAAGATCAGGCGCGTGTCGAGGTAGACATCCTTGCCGATGGAGAGGAGGGGGATGCGGCGGTACTTGATTCCCAAAAGGGAGGAGAGGTCAGGGCGGGGGAGTATCATTGGTTGGAGCTGTGTTTTTTTGTGTAAGTGATGTGACATGGTGACAAGGTGAGAAGTGTAGAAAGATAGGGGATTCCGGGAGTTACACCCGCGATGATGGGACAGATAGAAGGGGACTTACACATTGGGTGTACGGAATGCCACGTAGGTGAAGATACCAGACTAACCGTTTGGCATAGGGGGAGAACGGATAGTGGTATAAGACGATGGGCGGCTGTTGCGAGCCGGAAGTTGACGAAGACGACATGATTGCAGCGTGAGTGTGTAGTGCCGTTTGATGATATGTGGTCTCCTGTCTGTCAAAGAAAGCAAGAGTGAGTGTAATGTAAGCTGTTGTAAGTGGACTGACAATTTTCAGTTGAAAAGATGAATTGGTCAGTCAGGTTTGAATTAGTATTCAAACCGGATATCTCAACGAAAACGATGGTCAAGTCGTTGTTGTGCCGTTTTGATGGTGATGGGACTTATACCGCCATTGTCCTCACTAGATACCTGGGTACCGCGGAGACATTTCGTACCTCGGCTCGCAACCGCGGGGCAATAACCTCCCCCAAGCTTCGTTTCAAAAGTCCACTCTCGTCTCTGGTTCGATCTGCGCACTCGTGGACTGGTATTTGAAATCGAACGGAAATCGAATAACAGTCGAGTTTCAAACTCGCATGAGTTTCCCGTCATTAATGCCAGACCAAGAGATTTGCCAGGTAATTGTTGTGATGCTGAGTTTTGGTGTTGTTGTGTTGTGTTCAGGGGTTGGAGTAGCCTCAACACTAAGAAAGCCAAAACACCAAGATCGTTCATCACCAGGCCAAACACTCAGAACGATATCAAATCTCGAGTGGAAAACTTCTTCGCATTGAGCTAATCAAATAGAATTTAGGTCCAGTTTTGTGGGAGATGTTTTGAGAAAGAGCGTCTCTCCATTAGCCTTATGCCACCATCACTCCTGCCTCCTTTGCCGGCTGCCACATGGCGTGCCTCATCTGGTTACAATTTTTCAACGTCCTCGGCGGAAAGGCACGAAAGTCCAATGGTGAAAAAGGGACCAGTTTCCATCAAGAGAATCGATAAACTCCAACATGTCCTCTTCAACCACTGGGCGTAGAGCATTTGCATACCTAACGACTTGGAGCTCACACGACATCTGTTGACAAGATTCGCGTACTTGAGGTTGTGCAACATCTCAACGGCACGGTAACAGTACGATGCTGTTCTTTCGGGTTGCTCCTGCTGAACCGCATCCCGCGCGCAGATTTCCGGTTATGTGGTTGTCCTTCCGTCTTGTGATGGTGACAATGAGCTGGACACTTTTGACCACACCGGTAGGTCCTTTGCCTCACAAGTCCAAGGTGCACCTTCCTACAAAGTTCTGATCGGTAGTATGCAACAACTTGCACAGGGTATGACAGAAGCCGACCAGAATGTCAAGCGAAGATGTAGGATTCTTTAAGTTTTCCTTCTGGACGTACTCGTCCACGTTTGGGAATGCATTCAATATCATTAACAAGAGTTATCTGTCTCGAACCGCATCTACGTATGAATATCCTAGGAAATATTACCTCCCATATACTTTGCTGCTCCCTCGCTCTCCTTACCTACACGTACCATACCTAATACCCATACTACTTCAACAATGGACCACAGTACCGACGAGGAATCCAGAATCGGGGCCGATGGTGCCAAGGATATCCGGGAGGAGAAACCTGAGAAACCGTTGTCATCTAGGAACAACGATCCTCCCCAAGAACGCCATATCACCTGGCTCGATACCCTCCGGCACTATGAAGGTGCTCTAGACAGAAAGCTCGGCATCGAAGCCCGCGCAGTCCAGAGAAAGACACCGGAAGATCGCGACCCTCAATACGCTGTATGGCACAACCAAGCCGTCATGTTTCTGCTCTGGATGAGCTCGACCCTGAATCTAGCCTGCTTTGCAACTGGCTTCCTGGGCACGGCACTCGGACTGGATCTGAGAACATCACTCACTATCATCACCACAGCCGCATTCCTAGGGAGTGCCGTTCCTGTAGGTCTCACTCAGGACAGATCTTGCAACCCTTCTCCTCAGTATAGGTACTGACAATATGCAAAACCTAAAGGGATGGTGTGCCACCCTAGGCCCCAGCACCGGCCTCCGCCAAATCTCCATCTCCCGCTACTCCCTCGGCTGGTGGCCGTCGAAAGCAGCCGCGATCCTCAACGTGATTGGGCAAATCGGCTGGTCATCTGTCGGCTCGATCACCAGCGGCCTTGCCCTCGCCGCCGTCTCGGACGGCGCCATCCATCTCGAGATCGGCGTGGTCCTGTCCACTGCCATCAGCTTCGTCGTCTCCATAATCGGCCTCAAAGCCGTGTTTGCGTACGACAAGTTCGCGGGCTTGGTGATGGCGTTTGTTTTTATAACCCTGTACACCGAAGCCGTACCCGCCGTTCAACAGTCCCAATCCCACTCCCAAGCCCAAGCCCAACCCACCACCCCCCTCCAATCTGTTCTGTCGGGCCCAGCAAAGACAGCCGCCTCCCTGAAACTCTTCTCAGTAGTCTACGGCTCCTCCGTCTCCTGGGCCTCCATCGTGGCAGATTACTACGTCGAATACCCCGTCTCTACCTCCCGCATCAAGATCTTCCTGCTCACCACGCTCGGTCTGGCCCTCCCACTTGCTTCGCCATGTCTCTTGGCGCCGTCGTCTCTTCGGCTCTTTCTTCCCGTCCAGCCTGGTCTGCCGCGTACAACACCGGCGGCATCGGTTTTCTGATCCAGACCATCATTTACCCCACCGGCCTCGCCAAGTTTTTGCTCGTGCTGCTCGCCTTCTCGGGTATAGCGACGAATTCCATCTCGTTTTATAGCGCGAGTCTGTCCATCCAGCAGTTTTCGAGGAAGCTGGCGGTTGTGCCGCGGTTCATTTGGACTGTGGGCTTGCTCATAGCCGTGGTGCTGCTGTCCCTGGTCGGGAGGGATAAGTTGCTGGTGTTCTTGCAGAACTTCCTGGGCCTGTTGGGGTGCTGGGTAACGAGCTTTGTGGCTGTTATGGTGGTGGAGCATTATCTTTTTCGGCATGGGTTGCGGAGGTGTTGTGCTGATTATGACCTGGAGGCGTGGGATACGAGGGAAAAAATGCCGGTGGGGGTTGGGGGTGGGCTGGGGTTCGTGGCGGGGATTGTGGGTGGGCTTTTGGGATTCAGTTCGAGTTGGTATACAGGCGTTGTGGCGAAGTTGATTCCGGGGGGACAAGAGGATGGAACGGGAGTGAGAAGGTATGGGGATGTGGGCTTTGAGATGGCGTTTTTGTGCGCGGTGGTGGTGTTTATCCCAGCGAGATGGGTGGAGAGGAGGGTAATAAGGCGGTAATGGAGGAGGGATGTGCGTTGGTTTGTTCGCTCGTTTGTAATGTTTTGCTTCGTGATACTCTTGTTGTCGTACACTCTTTTTTCCTGAGAACCTAACAAGGGGTATCGCTTTGAGTTGTGCTTCTCAAGATGTATGAGGGATTCTGGTAAGTGAGACGAAGAACTGGTAAGGACACTTGAATAAAAAGGTTTAGGCAAAATCACCGAAAGGCATCTTTCCAAAAACCACTCGGATACCACCAAGTAAGTCATTCACTATGACACTTGAATGCTGATCTCGCTCCTGTCACCTCATACCCAAAACCCTGACAGCTTCCCTCACCCCTTTCTAAGCGCCAAACCACACTCATCTACCACTCGGTTGTATCGACTTGTCTGTCTTCAGAGTTATACCTCCTCATCCGCCAGATGAAAGGCTCTAGAGATCGCGCGGCGGCGCACTGGTTACGCTAAGCGGTCCTCGCTTAACCATGATGCTCATGATCTCGTACAAGGCATCGGCAGCCGCCATGGTCGTGTGCTCAGCGTTGGTATCATAGGCAGGCTAGATAGAAAGGGTTAAAGATGCATCAGTGAGTGAGAGCTCTAAGAAAGGAAGCGAGGAGGAGACGACCGGAAAAAAAAAAGAAGAACTTACCGCAACCTCAACAATATCAGCAGCAATGATATTGATTCCTTCCAACCCTCTTAGAATGGTCCTAAGCTCTCTGGTAGACCATCCGCCTGTCTCGGGGGTGCCGGTGGCTGGGGCAACTGTTTGTACACAAGCGCTCACTCGTTAGTTACCTAGCTTCCCACTTCCCACCATTAAACGGGGCAAACCAGGGAGGAAGAGAGAGGGAGAAAAAATATTTTTTTTTTAAAAAAAAAAGACAGAAAGGGAATACTAACAAGCAGGATCTAAAGTATCAATATCCAAACTCAAATAAACCGGCCGTTCGGTACCCACCCTCTCCCGAATCTTCTTAATAATCCCTTCCGTCCCAATGGTATCAATCTCCCTAGCCTCGACAATCTCAAACCCGCAATACCCATCATTCTCGTAATCCGACGGGCCACTCAGCGTCGTGCGTATCCCCGCATGGATATTACTATCGTTCCTCAGCAGTCCCTCCTGCGCGGCATGCCAGAAATACGTCCCGTGGTTGACGGACGCGACCTCCGAGGGGGACCCGCCAAAGACTTTGGGCCGCCACGTGTCGAGGTGGCTGTCGAAGTGGATGACGGACACGGGGCCGTAGGCGCGATTGATGCTCCGCAGAAGCGGGAGGGTGATGGTGTGGTCGCCTCCGAGGGTGATGACGCGGGGGAGGGTCTCGCCGTGGAGGGAAGGGCCGGGCTTGTGGGCGTCGGTGGCGGGGGCGCGGGAGAGGATGGAGTGGTGACCTTGCTCGATCTGCGAGAGCGCAAAGGTGTTGTCGTACGAGGTCACGGGGATGTCGCCGCAGTCGATCACGGTGGCCCAGCTGTTGAAGGGGTTGGTGGCTAGCGGGACGTTGTAGCCGCCGCTATATATAAGGGGAACGGACGGAGAAGGCGTTAGTTAGTGTCGGTATGGACATGATGATGAGATGATTTAGCGGTAGAATATGTAGAGCAGACGGGTGGGTGGGGCATACTATAGGTTCAAACGACGAGATCCTTGACGGATTCCTGATGGACCGAAGCGAGCGCCGGGTCTATATGAAGTGCCGGTGTCAAATGGGGCGCCTTTAATATAGGGACAGTTAGTTAGTTGCCAGAATTTGTCTCTCATGGAGGTGTTGAGCTAAGACGGCCGGCCACTCACCAATAAAGGCAATATCGTAGTTGATATCTTTGCTGGCAAGACATGGTAGGTACGGTAGACGGCCAAAGGTCGAGATGCCGGAGAAGACAGAATCAGCCTGTTGGTGGCGTCAGTCTCAACTCCTCCTCGGCAAACACTGAGTCTTTTTCTTTTTTTTTTTTTTTTTTTTTTTTTTTTTCGTTTTAATCCAGCATACCTGAGTGCCTCCATCCCCGGGCAAGTGATTGTACCACAAGCCTTGATGAGGGCCTGCCACGACCTTTTGACTATGGTCGCCATGTGCTGCCGCCAGAGCAGCGAGACAAGAGGCAATGCAGCTTGGGCGTAACATTTCGTTCGAATCTTCCCGATAATGCGTCTCAATGACAGACGAGAGACAAATGATCCTCTCGAGATCTGAAGAGGGGTTGGGACCATGACCTTTTATCGATATTTCCCGCAGTGTCTCCTTGGAACCCCTCCATTCTCATCGATTGGGTCAAGCAGCATGGTATATCCCGTTCCTCACTGCAGCAGCGAGACATCGTGTAGAACAGTGCTGTCGAGTGTTGTGTTTTCGTTATTCACCATCCAGAGCTTCACCTATCTCGAATGGTAGGCTCGCTGTCGACGTCTCGTCACTGATAGGTTGTTTGTCGATCGTCCAACGGGGAAACATGTCCAAGTCTGTTCATGCGACCTTGCTTGCCATGGTCGATTGAAGTGCACAATGCAATGCGGAGATTCTTGTTATGTAAACTACAACTTGAGAATGAGGAAGCAGAGCTGTCGTAAGTGGGAAAGAGGTGATGCGCAGTAGATAAGAGCCAGACATATTTGGATATTGGGCCAATTGCAAGCTTGCCGTCGACGGAGGGGATGTATGATATCCAGGACACTCCCACGCCGACATGCGAGCTCATTGGTACCATTGATGGAAATATCGGGATGAGGTGCAGCAGCCACCGATCGTAAACATTCCAAGTAGGAATCTCCTGGAACGGTATGATGGATGATGAGATATCCAGTCGTATGTTGGGCTTCAGCATCGTAGTTGCGTCTCAATGACTGCGGGGCTGAGATAAGAGCGAGAGTACTATCTGCCGGAGATGCATATTCCCGTGATTTAAAGGTTCTTGTCCATCTTTGGGAGATATGACATCGAAAGGACCTCTGCCATTCTGCAGGGGATGCCATTTCATGTCCATTTTGGGCATACTCGGATATAGAGGGATAGTGTGCTAACATGGCAAGCGAGATATTACCATTCTGGCAGTTGAGGACACTAACACTTTTACAAGATTCAGAAGATTCAGATTTTGGTACTGTGTTTCATTGTCTTATCGCAACCGCACAGCATCAAACCATCGATCGCCGCAATCGCAGAACCGGCATCTTGTGGAAGAGGTTATCAACATGTTGGAAGCGCACTACGCATTTCATGTTGCTGTCAACACAGCGTGGCTGGTAGGATTTTCCCTCTTTAACTGGGTAGCTCGCCGACGACCAGAGGTTGGGCGCTTGCCATATCTCAAACCTCGAGGCCAACGACATTCATGACTCTGTGATGTGGTGTGAGCCAAATGGGCTTGTAACGACGTCCGAATTATAACAGTCGAAGCTCCAAGCCGGGCAATGTCAAAGACCAAACGGCAACCAACAACAGCAGAAACGTTCAAAGACAGATCAGATCATGGGTCTTAAATAGGTAAAGATAAAACCCGATATTCACACTCGAGAGCGGGTGTAACAGGACACACTCTGTGAATTGTCATGGTGCCACTTGACACTTGACGGCATTGGGAGTCATTCGTTGCCCATGAACTGCACCATCCCTACGCGTGCAGGTGTTTGAGGGGACGAAGAAATTGAGGGAGGACTGTGCCAGCTGAAGACGCAGTCATTTGTCTTACGGGACTGGACTGGATGACTGGACTCTTCTTCTCATAACGCTGGCCATGTTTGTTGATGCCGCAGTCGCCGCCGTCGCCGTGGTTGTCGCGATAGTGGCATGGATGAAAACATGGGAAACCGGCAGCTGGTCGGGTAGCGATATGGTGCTCCGCCCCGGCCTGGACCCTGTTTTCGGGGCTGTTCACCTTGGCCAGCGACATGCATCTCACAGCATCGAATCGAATCGGTGGCCATGAGCCTCTTGAATGCTCAGAGCCTGCTGCTCGAGCCTGCAAAGCAACCCGACGGTTTGACCGATGGGCGCAGCTGGGTTTTGTGTTTAGTGGTGTTTTTGGACTTTTATAGCGGTCGTCGGGTCTTTGCCTGCCGACCACTCACATGGGTGCTTGGATGCCAGGATGAGGCCAAGACTGAGGACAGAAGACGGGAGGGGTTTTGGGGCTGGCTTCATATGATTGATCTCATTGGACAAAAGGTTCGTTTCAGACTTCAGTAGTACCTTTTACCCCGACTTTCTTCCATCTGGTACCTGAACATTACCTCCATATAGTTCAGTTCCAGCCAGAGGTACCCAGCACGCCTAGCTCGACGACGGTGAGGGCGGCAAGACATGACCCGGAACGGTCAGCACTTGAGGTCTGAGGAGGTTGGGAAATGGAGAAGAGGATGATGAATCTTCCAAAGAATGATGCAGATGGATGCACAAGCAGCAGAAAAAAAAGGGGAGGCGCAGGTGCCACTTTTTGTTGAGGCGTGACGCCGCAAGGAGGACGGAAGAGAAAGAGGAGAACTGAAAGAGAGAGGATCCCCTTTTGTCCCATGTGTGGACCATGGAAGACACAGATGGAGGACATTGTCCAAACAATATGCAGACAGGGCAACGATGCAGTGGCCCATCTGTCCACTATCGCTCTCGCTCCATCCCATCATCCACACTAGGTTGCACCGAAAGGGGTGCCACTGATTACTGACAACATTGAATGAGAAAGGTTGTCGGGTGTTCCTGAATGTGCTAAGCCGGGCAGGTAAAATTGGTGCCGCTCGACGTCAGTCAGGTCCCTCTCTCTATAAGAAATCTGGGGTGGAAAGACGGTACCATTTCCCTGATTGAGGCTTCTAAAAAGACCCGCGAACCAGGGTCTATGATCGCCCCATGAATGGTTCCCATGTGCATGTCATTGTTTTTTGCCTCTTTCCTCACTCATATGCTCCCACCTCATATCCAGTTCCATCAGTCCCTATTTGCAACTTTTTGACCACGTATCGACAACATCAACAACAACATCGGCAACAACATCGGCAACAACATCGGCAACAACATCGGCAACAACATCGACAATAATTCCCGTCGCCTGAGAAAAACAACGTTAGCCAGGCAACCAGGGGTCAGGATCAAAAAAAGCCAAAAGTACGGTCAACGACTTGCATCGAATCACTGTCCGATTTTCATGATCCGGATCCATACTGCCAGCTGTGCCTGCGCCAGTCAAAGCCGTCTTGCCAGTTTAGACGGCGGGCTCTGGACAGCTGCTGCTGCTGCTGCTCCATCTTGCGACCTGCAGAAAGGCCCCGTCAGACCCGTCCAGCGAAAAAAAAACAGACAGTCCAGATCGAGCTTGCTGTGGCTATTTCCATTTCCATATCCCCATTTCTATTCGTATTTCCTGCTGCGTCATATTCCCAGCCAATCACCAACCATTGAGCCGCCTCAACGCCATCCAGCCTAGGCCCAGCGAAGCGCACCCATCCAGGCCATTCAGACCGTCGAGGCCCATTCAACTGCCCTTCACACAAGCCCAGCGTGCCCTGTCCTTTCTCTTTTCCACTTCTCCCGAGTCTCGAGCCACTCCATTGCTTCGACCACGACGAGCCACAACAACAACACCTTGACGCTGTTCGAACCACTCATCGACAACCTGTCTGCCGTCCCGAGGATTCGAAACTCAGCAATCAGACGCCAGATCTGGTATATACCATTCATAGGACCCGCCCCACTCGAGAGGAAGGAATCAAGCCTATTTGTTTCCCTTTCCCCTTGGACCATGCGCCGGGACCTAATAGCATCCTGGGTCTAGCTTGTCTCGTGGAGTCTTTGAGTGCTTGCTTGCTGCTACTGCCGCTGCTCCCACTGACACCGCTGTCGACGGCGCGATTGGTGACGAGAAGCCGTTGCCTCCACCGGCTTTGTACGTGTACGAAAAAGGTCGGTCATGAAACGGCGGCCACTGCTTGCTTCTGCCACTCCCCAGCATCCCCAGTCTCCCCGGTCTTGCCAGTCTCTCCTGCGCCCAGCTTGCCAGCACAAACCAGCGGGAAGGTGTCCATCGGAGCCACTTGTCTGTGTTTCAGAAAGGCCGCTGGCATAGTGGAATCTGTCCCCGACCGTCGCAATCCGGCCGAAATAAAAGAGGAAAGAAAAGTCTGTGTCGTACCCAACGCAAGGTACCCGACGCCGACTTAATAGAGGTAGCCACTCGGCACTGCTGCTGAGCCTCAAGGGTCTTGACTCCCAGAGGGGCCCCAACAAGCAAACGTCTCCCCGTCATTCAAAGCCTTATCAAATCCACACCTGTAGTTACACACTCACACACACAACATGCGCGCATCCTGGCTTGGATCAAGAGACTGAAGCAGACGAAGAAGAAGAGAGAGGAAGGAAGAAAAAGAAACATTTAAAACTCATTACATCTTCAACACTCACCTCACTTTTCTTTTTGAGTTGTCATGAGAGGGAATGTTGATGCTGGGCCGGCGGTGCCCAATATGGTTCACTCTGAAGCCGACTATGCCATGGTCCGGAATGCGGATGGGACGGAAAGTCCACAGCGCATCTTCAGAAGACACAAAACTTTGCCCCGACCGGGTACAGCATCGTCGACTGGTTCGCGAAGCTCAAGTCCCGCTCGGCCTTCGCGGACTACCCAGCTACGACGGTCAAGATATCGACCGGCCGGCCCCGAACCGCCCCCGACGCCGCCTACCCATTCACGTACCTCGTCATCAGCCAAGTCGATGCAATCAATAGACCAGTCAAGCCCAACAAACTCGGGCAGTCCGCTGCAAAGCACCGATAATGTGCAGCATGTTCAACCACGTCCCCCAACCACGCCACCGAACCAACGTACTCCACCAACTCCGAACTTGACCCCCGAAAGAATTCCCCCGCCGGCTCCTGAACCACCAAAACGTCCTGCCCGGCCCCAGCTGCAGGTCCAAACCCAGCCTGAGGCTCAGTCCCAGTTCTCAGGCCAGTCCCGGCCCCGACCACGGCTTCTTGTTGACGATCGGATGCCATCCAAAGCGACGACAGTAGATTCAAGATCGGAATCATTCAAGACAGCACCCGAAGCCCCTATCACTCCAGAAGATGAGGATGACGGAAAATCGACTGTGCGGCCCGAGATGTCGTCGAGGGGAACATCGCGAAGTACGATCCGTCAGGCTAACAGAGGAGCAAAATTGCAACCGCAGACTGTAGGTTTGGGCATTGACATCGGGGTGAACTCAAGCGTTGGAGATGGATTAACGCCAGCAGCAGAGAGGGAAGTTCAGCTTGGGCGAGATGCGTACGAGGGAGGGTGGGGCGGCCAGGGAACGCAGGGAGGAAACTTGAATTCTGAAGAAGAGGTGGTTGAGGAATGGGACGAAAATCTGGAAAGGAATGTGATTGTCAGCAGGCGACGTGCGGCACCCAGATGGAACGCTACCAAAAATCGCAACTCGGTGTTTATGGAACCGCCAACCACCACGACAACAATTACACCAACAACAGCTGCGATGACGAGAGTACTACCTCTACGCGCCATGAACCTCGAGGAACAGCAACGGGCCCTCCCTCGCTCAGAGCCATCGACGAGTGGGGACACGCGGCGCTTTTCCACGACTTCCAACCAGTCCGCCACCTCCACGATTATGGGCACTATTGTCGTCGGTGATGATACGGGTTCTCAGCGACGCAACACACTCCGACACGTACGAAAGCCCACTCTGCCTCTGCGTGATTCTGTCTCCGATCTTGCTCAATCAACCACTTCTTTTGCTCCAGCCCCGGCTCCGGCTCTGGCTCCAGCACCAGAAGTCTTCCAACGACGACCACAGCTTGAGCAAAAATCAGGCGGTCCTCCCCGCGAAAGTTATTTTTCAACCACTTCCACCTCCAGCCGGAAAGCCAGGAGGGATGTGTGGAAAACTGGGTCAATACCTGTGGTGATCGTACCAGAGCGTCGGACCTCCCTCAAGTCCAATGGAAAACCTCCTTCTCTTCGTTCGATGAGCAGTCGGAGATCTAAACGGAGCCAAAGCCTGAGTTCCGTTGGGCGACGGTCACAGGCGTCCGCGAGCAACTTTACTATTGACATATATATGGACCAGCCGCGGCGCAGCAGGAACATCTCCGAATCTGACAGATCTCGAGCCGGCGATCCTCGAACTGCCGACTTTCCGCCGTACATCCCTAGGCGGTCATCTTCTCTTTCCGCTACTACCAGTCGCAACGTGTCAAGGACGGGGTCTCTCACGGCGGAAAGCCTCCGAGCCCATGACGCACTCTACGAGCAACAGAAAGCTTCGCAAACAGTTGAACGGGCAGTAGAAAAACTACAGAGGGAAAAGCGGCCGCCTCCAAAGCCGGTAAATACGTCTAGACAATACCGCAGGACGATTGACGGAAACGACTTGGAACCAGAGCGACGTCAGTCTGGGACTATCAACATCAAATTCTCCCCTTCGATTCAGTCAAGCAACTTTGACAACAGTGACCCGCGAACGCCGCGTAGCTTTCCTGCTGATCACAATGATGATGGCGGTCCTCGTCACAGTTACGAATACAACAAGAGGAATTCTGTTCAACATACCCCTTTCTCGCAAGCTTCCGTAGAGACGGGCGCCTCCCATGCCGAAGTATCAGAGGCGAGAGCGATACCGATCTACCCGCATCAGAACAAGTCTGTGATGATTGTAAACCACTCCAATAAGCCATCCGAGGCCTCTTCCTCGGATCGGCAAAGGTCTCCTCCAACAGCCACCCCCATCATTGCCGCCACCGATGCCGAAGGAAATCCTATAACACCGCCGCAAGACCTCTCAAGGGGTGATGAAAACTTCTCCCCCTTGAGAAACCCAAGAGCACCCCCCAAACCACCCCCGGCAATCAATTTCATTCCGGCAACGCCTTCGGGTCTAACACCAACCACGGAAAAGGAGAAGGAGCTTGGTAGTTTCTACGATGATATGCCCGAGCCAGAGGAGCCTAAACCCGAAAGCGGATTCGCCATGCTCCGCCGGAAGCTAAGCCGTCGCCGGACCTCGGAAACAACTGGGTCCCGTCCGGGGTTCCTTACGCGTACATTTTCATTGTCAAAGTATACGAAAAACTACGAGTCGGATGGTGGCAGCAGTGATAGGCTGAAGAGACCCCACCTGAAGAGGTCCTTTACAGCCGATGACGCCCCCGTCGAGCCAGACAAGCTTCACCCTGACTGGCGGCCATCCTACCAGTCCGATTTCTCAGACAGCGGAAGCGAGGACGAGGAGCGCTGGGACTACCCGCCCATCGACAACCGTCCCCAACGGCCGGGTCTGCTGCCTAAACGGAGTCTGAGCCAGAGGATGAAGAAGGCATTCGCCATCATGCCGTTGCGCAACGGCTCAAAGTACGACGCCTCATACTCGACAGATAGCGGTGACGTGCCTGACCAATACAAGCGGACTATCCGACGCACGCCGAGCGGCAGTCTGCGGGTCATGAAGATTCGGCAAAGCCTGGAGTCTATGGCGCAGTCCATGGCACGGCCGTCCATCTCGTCCGAAAGACCCACCAGACCGTCCATATCATCACCTTCAGAGACACCCCGACCATCTATCTCTACTGAAGCGCCTCCTCGACCTTCGATCTCCCCCGACTCCAGCTCAACCCGGCCTTCCATGTCCTCCGAAAACCCCCGCTTCTACCCGCCCCGCGTCCGAAGAAACTACGGCGCACTCTTCCAGCGCCAGCCACGACCTCCCCCTGCTGTCTCGTCAGCAGCGCCGCCCCTAACTCCCTCTTCCGTGTCCACCTTTGCGACCGGCTACTCTGCCACCTCTATTTCCCCACCCACTGTAGCTGGAGGACCGCCACAACCGCCACCCATGAAGAGACGCGGTAGTCTCAGTGAGAAGATCCTACCTGTCTTGAACGAAAAGGTCAACATTGTGCGGAGGCTGAGCGAGAAGCGGAAGGAGAAGAAGAGGGATGAGATGCGGAAGACGATCAGTCATCCGAGAGTGGTCAGGGATGGATTGGGCGAAGTGATCAAGCATGATACAGGGAGGGAGATCTTTGCGATGAACCAGGGTCAGCCGGGACAGCAGCCGGGACAACAGTTGAGGCAGTCGCCGCCTGCTATGAGCACCCCTGCGAGGAGGGGGTCACCGCCTAGGATAGGGAGGGGGTCTCCTATTTAATATGTCGGAGATCATGAAATTGAAGGACAAGGAACATATTGAGCTGGGAGTACATGGGCCAACACAAAACAAAACACGATGGAGACGGACAAAAGAATGCATCAATCATGTTGATCATGAACGACTCAGAAGAAGGAATGACCATGGTTACGATACGAACTGTTACACGGCACGAAACGAAAACAGCAACAAGAAGAGCACAACACACGGCAATGAAAGCATGACCTGATGAACTACCACAACGATACATACACACGCACATACGTCAAAATCGACGACACTCCTTTTTTGCATGTCTTCCTTCTTATTCTTTTTTTTTTTTTTTTTTTTTTTTTTTTTGTGGTAGGGGTTTATTCAACAAAACTATGCTACATATACCACATTTCTGTTTTCTTCTTCTCTTTGCTTTAGCTCAGCTCCTTGTCTATTTCTGCATCGCGCGCAATCTCTACAAATTCGGTCTTGGTTATATACCTACAAGATGAAGAAAAGAGAGAGAGAGAGCAAACGACGAGCGGAATAAGGAAGAGCCATCACCGCTACGATTTCATTGCGTGCTGGGCGGGCTAGTTTTTGTTTTACGTATATACCTGAAAGAGTTTCCCGTTTTCGTCTTTCTTGTTTTTCTTTTTTCTCTCTATATGGCTACGACGGTGATAGGTGACGATGATGATGGATGGGGGAAGGGACATCTTGTAATGGAAGTTATATATCAGATTTATGATGATCATGATTGAAATGTGATAGAGGAGGGTTCAAGGGTCAAGGGGTTCTAGGTTATCAACCCAACCATATTTGAAGGGACATGTTATGACAGGAAGAAGGGGATGAAAGTTAAGGAATGCAATTCAGATGTTTATGATGACGGACTTTGATTTTGTTTTTCTTCGAATGTCTGCGTTTCGGTCATTTCGACTAAAGACCTAGCTAGACTTATGTGCTTCTACTTGACCCCTTTGTTATTTTTCCAACCCCCCAATACAGCCCCCCAACCATAACCCATCATTTTACTCGAACATCATCTTCCTACATAGGTAACTACCTCGCTCAATCGCGAACCTTGGCGACAGTCCTCAGCTCACCCCTACTCTTGGTCAAGATGACAAACGCATCAATAGCAGCCTCAAAGTCCTCAGCACTATGACCTGGGAATTCGAGATCAAAATGTTGTGCGAGGGTCGCGATGCAGAGGTATAACTCTGCCCAAGCGAGACTGTTTGGGTAGTATCACGTTAGCATCATGGTCAGTTGCCATCCTGAAACACAGAGAGTTGGGCATGTAGGTACGAAACAAATGGAAGTGATGAAAGAGGGAAGGAAAAAAAAAAAGAAGAAAAAAAAAAGGAAAAAAAAAAAGGAAACCAAAAAAACTCACTAGCATCCCCAAACAATTCCTCGAACCCCCTGCTAAAAGGCGCCCACATCCTCTCCCCGCCCGCAATCCTGCGCTTAAACTCCTCATCCATCCACCTCTCCGGATTAAACTCCCTCGCATCCTTCCCGTAAACGCTCTCATCCCAATGCATCAAGATCTGCGTCATACCCACTGGTGTTCCGCGGGGGATCGTCCATTCTTTCTCTCCCTTGTCGTCGTTCAGATTCCCCTGTTGAGGCCCAGGATAAACCAGTTCCCGATCAGGCGCCACCCTCTGCAACCGACTCGCCGCCGCGGGACTGAGTCTGAGTCCCTCCATGAGAATAGCCGTCAGGTAGGGGAGGTGTTCCAAATCGCGGTATTCGTAACTCGAAGGGTCCGAGAGGTTGAATTGCGAGAGCTCGGAGCGTAAACGGGAGAGAATGGAAGGGGAAGAAAAGAGGTTGTAGATTATCAAGCGTAAAGTGGAGGCTGTGGTCTCGAACCCCGCAGAGGTTATTACGAAGACGTCTTGGTGGATTCGGGAGAGGGATTTGAGGTGGGAAGGGAGGGAGGGGGAGGAGAGGATGTCGTTTATGATTGTGTGGGTTTGGGTTGTTTCTGGGGTTTTAGAGGTAGAGGTTGAGGTAGGTTTTTCTGAGGAGGTATTGGCAAGGTGGGCGTCGATGATTTGCTTGGTGTCGTGGAGGGTTACCTGTGGGAGTGGGATTATTTGGTGTTAATTCATGACGATACCTCTGGCTACCCAGGTAAAGGACGGATGATATGACAAAACGAAATGAAAAAAGTACCTTCAAATGAGTAAAAACATTCTTCAACCCTTTATCCCCCAACCACCCAGCCAGCCACAGCATGAAATCCCACGGCAAGCTAAACGCGACCCTCAGCACGGGAATATGCTTGTTATATCTCCACATGCGGCCCTCGTCCGTAACCATGGTAGTGAAGTCTTTGTCAAAATCTTCCTTGTCCAGGTTACCGTAGCTCTTGCCCATGATGAACTCGTTCGACACGTCCCTGGCCCAGGCACTGATGGCGGCGCCCAAATCGAACGTTTCTTTGGTGCTCGCCTTGCGGGTCATGATAGCCTGCAGCTTGTCCAGGTGCTTGCGCACAATGTCCATCTTGCGGCCCACGTTGGCCTTTGAGAAAAAAGGCGATAATGGCTGCCGGATCGCCTTGTGCAGAAAGTGGTCCGGCGCGCTGATGGCCACGTCCAGACCCCGGCCGTGCGCGGCGTACGCCCAGTCGTACTTGTCCCACCGGCCGCCGTCGTTGCGGTACAGTTTTTCGTAGTAGGTCGAGTCGTTGATGTGAAGCTCGTAGGGGCTGATGCGGATTATGGGGCCTGTTTTTGATGGGGGATTTTTTGTGTTAGCCCCCCCGCCGTTCGTTGTGTGTCATGACTACCTGGCCTATTTTACGGGAAGGAGAAAGGAGACTATGATTGACTGACCATATTGCTTGTGAAGTTCTGCGATCTTGAAGGTGTACTGCCCTTCTTGAATTACGTCGTAGTAGCCCTCGTACAGCCTGGTGATGGCAGCCAACTTGGGACCGGGGAACTTGGCAAGTGGATGCAATGTGAGGCGGTATATCGTCCGGCTCACGTAGTAAACCGTGACGGCCACGGCAACATGCCACCATGTGGCTGCTGGCAGGAGGTCTGCCAGGAGACTCATGGTGGAAGAGGAGAACCTGTTTCGTGAGCTGATTCCTAAAGGGCTTGAGGGATAGAAAGTAACGATGGTCACGAAGTGCTGGGAAACAAGTACCCCACCTAATAGCCCAGTTAATGAAAGAGAGAGCCACCTGGGAGCAGGAAGAAGAACCAGGTCTTTATATACCTATATTCCGAACATCATCCTGAAACCCCTTTCCTCGAGATCCATCTGCCGCGCGACAATACCTGCCGACCTAGGTAACCATTCTCGAGTGTCTCTAGTTTCCGAGCCCGCACGACCTCACGCAGCAACAGAAGATCCACCGTGATACCGGGGATATAGTAACAACCGGCAAACGTCGAGTGCAACTTAAAGTCGTATGTATAGCTTACTTATGCAAGGTTAACCAGCCATGTTTGGAAATGATATGCTGATGATACAATATGATCAGACCCGTTTGGCATTTAGCATTGCATGCAAAAAATCGACCATTGCCCAGGCCGTTGAATACGACACTACACGATGGATCTGTGCAATGATAGCTTGCGGTTGTTGTTGTTGATCGGTTCTTGGAAAGTCCATACTGTTCGCTTTGGACTGTGTAGTATGCACATATTAGTGTCTAATCTAGTTTCTAGGGGTTCTTATTCGTTGTTCGTTCGAGCCTCCGCTTTAAGTCCGATGTTTCGCTGTCGCTGTTGCTGCGGAATCCTACACTGCTACACTATGCTTACCCTGCTTGAAGGATTATGTAAAAACTTTATCCGGGGATTATCTATCTTTTTGAGTTATTCTACTTGAATACCTAGGTATAGTTTGCCTCAAGAGTCGGGCTCACAAGGGGAGGGGGAAACGGCGGGCATCAAAATCACTTCTTGAGATAAATAAGTTGTAGTATCAACCACAAGGGAATGGATGTTATTTCTTCTTCTTCTTGTCTTCTTCCTTTATCTCCAAAAACATGTACACATATCCTCCATATCCACATCGCTTCCATCCAAAAAGGTAACAACACAAAAAAAGGTCAACTCTAGAAATTATAAAATGGTATCCCAACAACAGCAGCAAAAGAGCAAACCTCCCAATCTACATCTACATATGTGCACATGTTTTTATCTTACACCCATCCGCTTTTGCGGTGCTCTTTGCTTACTTAAAGAGCAAGCAAAGCAGCAATACCAGCAACAACAGCCACACCGACGCTCAAGGCGTTCTTGCCAGCGCCAGCGGTCACGGGCACATCCTCAGTAGGGATAGGAGGCTGGCCGATGGACACGCTGGGAGAAGAGCCGCCGCCGATGGGGGCAGGGGGTTGGGCAACGCCGGTGCCGGAAACGGGAGGAACGGAGTAAGTGCCGTTGCTGTTGCCGGGGAGGGTGCCGGTGGGAATGGGCCCAGGGACGACAGGAGGGACAGAGCCGTTATTGTTGCCAGAACCAGTGCCAGGAGCGCTGCCGGTAGGGACAGCGGGGACCTCACCCTCACCGGAGCCAGAGCCGGAGCCAGGAGCGCTACCGGTAGGAACGGGGCAGTTCTCGCCGTTGCAGACACCGGAGCCAGTGCCCGGAGCGCTGCCGGTGGGGACAACAGGGGGGAACACCCTCACCATTGCCGTTGCCGTTGCCAGGAGTGCCGTTGCCGGGAGTGCCGTTACCGGGAGTGCCATTGCCAGGAGTGCCATTGCCAGGAGTGCCATTTCCAGGAGTGCCATTGCCAGGAGTGCCGTTGCCAGGAGTGCCGTTACCACCGTCGTTGGGGCCGCTAGGAATCTGGGTAGGAACAGGGCAGTTTACGCCGTTGCAGCCACCAGGGACCTGAGTGGGAACAACAGGGACACCGTTACCGCCGCCGGGAGCGTTGGTAGGAGCAGCAGGATGCTGCGTGACAGGGCAGACAGTGGTGGAGATGGCAATGACGGAGGTGACGACGCGAGCAGGGCAGTCGGTCACGGTAGCGGCGCAGGAGGTGACGGTGTAGTAGCTGGTCGTGTAGATGGTAGAGGTGGTCCACTCCTGGGAAGCAGTGATGGTGCTGTTAGGGAAGAGGACGGGGCCGGTGGAGATACCGCTGGGGACGGGGAAGCCGCCGGAGGCCGAGGGATCAGCAGGAGCAGAGGAAATGGGGAAGTCGGAGACGACGCCGGAGGAAGAGATGACCGGGAAACCGGCGGAAGGACCGCTGGGAGCAGAAGTGATGATCGAAGAGCTGCCAGTCTCGATGACACTGGCACTGGGGACAACGCTGCCGCTGGGGATGACGATATCACTCGGGATAGCGCTACCGCCGGGAACAATGCTGACAGTAGCGCTGCCGCTGGGGACAACAATGCCGGAGGAGACGTCGCCCTCGTCATCATCATCGCAGTCGCTATCGTCGTCAGTCTCGGTAGGGAGAGTCGCGGAAGAGGTGGCAGTGACGAAGACTGCGTCGGAGCTGGAGGCAACACCGGAGGCGGAGGCAATGTTGCTAAAGACATCGGTGTTGGAAACGACCTCGGAACTGGGGACGGCGGAAGCGGAGACAACGGCAGAGCTGGAAATAACCTCGGAGCTGGAGACAGCAGAGCTAGAGATGATGGCAGAGCTGGAAACAACAGAGCTAGAGACGGCCTCGGTGGAAACAGCGGAAGTGGAGATCACCTCGGAGGTGGAAGCAGCGGAGCTGGAGACGACAGAGACGAAGCTGGAGGTGACGGTAGAGCTCGACGCGGTGGCGGTGCTGGTCTCAGTCGAGCTGACGATGGCGGAGGAGGTGGTGCTCGAAGAGATGGCAGACGAAGTGGTGGTAGGGAGGCCCTTCTGGAGCTGGTAGACGTCGATGTACTTGATCTTCCAGTAGACGTCATCGAAATCACTGGGGTTGTTGGAGACATATGCGTCGCAAGAGGAGCCCTTGGAACCGCACTTGGGATCCAGACCGAAGAGTTGGCCAGCAGCATCACCGCAGAAGTTGATGTTGAGGATGAAGCGAAGGTTCTTGAAAGCCTTCTCAACATCACAGGTCTTGCTTGTAACGGACATGTGCGGCCTACCCCAGGTCTCGGGGTTGGGAGTTCCGTTCTCGATGTCGGTAGGCTCGGTGGCCCAGCTCCAGACACTGAGGTGGTCCTCAGTCCATTCGATAGCATCTGAAGGTGATGTATTATTAGCACAGTTCCCGATCTCTGAAGTTGAAGAGACAAGTTCACTTACAAACACCACCGCTGGGGCTACCCCACTGGCCCTGCTTCTCCGTCACACCGCAGCCTTCATTTACCCACTGGCCTGTAGCATAGTTGTCGCAGTTCCAGGTCTCGGTAGTCTCAACGTGCGTCTCGTCGACGAGCTTGCATTCGCCAACCTGAGCAGGAGTTCCGGTGTGGTAGGTAATTCTGTTGTGATCGGCCAATGACCACATCTCGTAAATATCGACTTCTCCGTCCTGGGGCCAGTTGTCGCCGACCATCCAGAAAGCAGGCCAAGCACCACAGACAGGCTTGGGGAAGTGGCTGAACTTGGCAACGAACAGACCGGTGTTGTAGGACGCGGTACTCTCGAGACGGACACTCTTGCGGGGAGCACCGGAAGTCTTGCTGTCGACACCGATGCGGATATCATCACCCTCGGTCTTGATCAAGCCCGAGGACACTGCCGCATCCTTGCCCAGGTACTTGACGTATCCATTGTTGGGATCCCTCACCTTCTCCTCGCGGCCTCCCTTTATTCAAATCCGTCAGCATCACTCTGTCATGTCTTGGATTTATGTAAAGTTCTTACCTCAAAGAAACTGAACTTTTCAGCAAAGTTGCCCGAGTTATAAGATTCGGACAACTGGTAGGTCTTGCCGGAGGCAGGAGAGCTACGGGCAGAAACACCAAAGGTGTAAGCCAGGGCAACAGCACCCAGCTTGAGCATAGACGGAGCCATACCGTCTGAAAGGAGTGACAGTGAAACTGAAAGAATGAGTGGACTTGACGTACGATACGTCAGAGGACGAGCAAAAAGAGATGCTCCGAAAATATAGTAGCTACTGAAGCAGCAAAGAGATAGTCTTGGCTGATGGGGCACCAAAACAAGAGAAGAAAAAGATCATCCATCTTTGGGGGCTCTGGACTTTTTGTTCTGACACGCGCGGCTGTACGTTCTTCACCAATACATTGGGGGCTTGGGGGGGCATATCCAGTCGAGTGGGACTTGGGAACCGAGAGGTCCTCCGGGAGCCTGTCGAGGCTGACATGGGAGACCAACATGGGGCATCGCTAACCGGGGGTTCATGCTAAAAAGGGCAACACTGAGGTGGATGGTCCACACTCGCAGTCCAGACTCGGGGTGGTGTTGTCAGGGGTAAGCCACGGGTCCACCCACGGTACCTGGGAGCATATCGGCGGCTCATTGGCCGGTTGGGGACAGGCGCTGCACTGTCGTCAGTTCTTTTCACAGCGAAGGCGTCTTCAGTCAGACCCTGAATGGCCCTCTTGCCGTGAACGGTTACCCTGGTGGACCGAAAGGCCCAAGCGAACAGGCAACAACGAGATGCCAAGAGAAGCCTCATTGTCGACAGGGGCCTCTTTTCAGAAGTAGAATCTGGATTGCTTTGGCGGTCATTCATGCCTGATGGAGGCTCTTGAACGTTGATCGTGGCCAGCTCTATTGATGTCCATGTTGGATGACATCAAAGCGTATCTACCAGCCTCCATGTCTGCAGGTTCTGTCAGAGATGTGATGCTGTCTCGCCCATCCTCTTCTTTTTGAGTTTCAAGATCAGAAAATCTTTTCCTTATGGATGGCCACCATGGAAAGGATGCATGTCAGATTCTTTCAGACGGGAATTGGTTAGCCGGCGTTTCTAGAAGGGGAGAGGAGGGGTGGGGAGTGGACAGAAAGCCAGGGAGCAAGATGGTCCAAGTGCAGGAACAGAGCCTGTTGGAGGGGCCGGAAGGCACAAGCAAAGTTGCCCTTGTCCCATTGGTCATCTGGGATAAGCTTCGATAACTGCCAGCATCTCGTCGCCAACTGAGAGCGCCGAGAAAAGGGGAGAATGCGACAGTGTTGAGTGTCTTGCAGGGAGGCACGGGAGCGTGTTGGCCAAACCCATCAATGGTGCCATATGGCAGATGATGGATACGGTATGGGTTATGGCCATCTGGGTAGGTATGGGCCCTTGAACCTGGGGTTGTGAGCGAGGGAGGAGGTCCCGAATTCACAGCTCGCTCTCGGGGAGGCGCAGTCGAGATTGGAACGACGGAAGAGGAAGAAGTTCAAGGACCGGAGCGTATTCCTTAATTCTTTGTGAGGGTCCATCTCGGCGGTCCTGGTGAGGCATGGTGCCGGTCTCGCCAACGACGCCCACTGCTGCCATTACGAGCTTAGCCCCACAGGACGCCCGGTGGACCGTGAATAAAATGACCACTAATTGACAGGTTATGAAAAAGAAGCCAATGCAATGCGTTGAAAGTGATGATTGAGCATGTGTTGTTGATTGATGAATTTCCACTTTGCTCGGTGATATCGGTAACAAATCGACTCTTTGTTTTTCATGTGAATGTGTAAGTCGGCAATTCCTGGCTGGCGCTGTTGATCACTTGCTAACCCCGCGCGCCAAAGCTGCTAGAGTTGTTCAAGACCAACGCTTATCAGAGACGATCACCAAGGCGAGACCAAGGCGAGCGGGTAGCCATGACGAACCGATGGAGATGTTGCAGATCCCATCACGATCAATGGATGGGCTCGCTCCCCAATGATTAAACGATACACCAAAACCGACACCACCACTGTTCATACAACGATAACTCTACGAAAACATAACCAAAAAGAACCAAACCAGATTCATCCGAATTTACTAACTCCCCTCTTTACGAGCATTTGTTTATGGAAGAGCAAAAAAGATTGGTAAAGCTAGTGTAAGAGGGTAGACTTGGTTGGTAGTTACCTCCAAAGATAGGTGCCAAGACGGGCCGTGCAAGGCGTGGATCTTCGTTTTGTGTGTATCATTTAATCTATGGGGAGCGAGATGGGGTGGTCTGTGGTGAGCTTGTGAAGAAGAGAAATTCAGTTGCTGGAAAGTTGTGGGAGCGTGAGTGAGGTACCTCTCCCTGGCAGTTCTGGGGGACAAACAACGGGCCGGGGGAAGGGGGGTTGCACCGGCAACAGCGCCGCCTGGGCCCATCGCCAGGGGGAGGCGCTCAGTGGCGTTCAGGGGTGTTCCTTTCTGTGTTTGTTTACGCCTACCAGCTAGCCGAAATCAACGTCAGCCAACCCATCACCACCACCTCCCTTCCTTCCTCCCAATTGGAACAGCATACGACCTGACAACAAAAGGTCAAAAAAGAAAACACATCGACAATATCACAAACACGGAGGACATGGCCGATATTACCGGCACTACCACTCAGCGCTATCCACCCCGACGGTCTTTTCGCAATGACAACAGGTTGAGCTTGACCAAAAACGATGAATCAAATTACCATTGCTGACATGTTCTTGTTAGTGCGCGTCCTCCTCACCACCACGGTCAGCCCGTCTTGTCGGGACCGAATGCGACCCCTTTTGCGCTTACACAGGCATCCATAATTAGCTCTGAATAGATTGAGTGTTGACTGTGTCAATATGGGGAGGAGAAGAACAATGAAGGCTGACGGCGTGGCCGCGTAACAGAAAAAGCTTATCACTTTCTACCTTCCGCTTCCTTTCACAATCTGACCTCTTGGAGTTCAATTATCACGTACCATAACCCTGGAGCCATATGAGTTCAAGCGAACAAGCATTACCGAACAGACACTCTGTCGGGACCGAGAAAGGTCCAGAACCCACTCGCGCAGCTTACTATCGCGCAGCTTACTATCGCGAGATTGGCAAGCAGGAAGGTAACTACCGAATACGGGCATGGAAGGGGCCATCTGATGAGGAGCGAAGCCGCCTCTTTTATACAGGAAGGAAGCTATCGCCCGGGACATACCAGACGGCGGAATTGGAAATCTGGTGGGATACGAAGAACCAAGTATGATCCCGTTTCCCAGCCTTTACGTTGGCTTCTTTACTTTTCCTCATCATATTCAAGCACATTGCCGATTTATCTATAGCCTACTCCCTTTTTTCCCTTAACACACCTGTCGAAACAAATCATTTTGCGAACAACCAGCTTCACGGTTTCCTCTTTTTCTACTGACTTACTTGAAATCTCATGCCCATCTTGCTTGGTCAGCAAGCGCGGTCAACATGATCAAACCTAGAGAGATCAGACTGATGGATGCTGAGGATGCGACAGTCAGCTTATCCTCAAGGTACCCAGTCTTTTTTCCGATTCAAGAGGAGTTGGTCATAGATTTGACAGACACTACGAGTGTAGGTAGTCAATCCTCTTCTGGGTAGTCAAACCGACGACCTGTGTAATATATGGGTCTGTCTGTCAGGACATACCGCGCTAACTTACCGATAGCGACTTTTGCACCAAAACAACCGACTGGAAGTTCACGCTCACGCACACCAAAGACAGCAGTCCGGTCCTTTTTGCGTTGTTTCAAGGCCATTCATTCAGTTCTCCTAATTATCTGAGTCACATCTAGTAGTCCTAGTCGTTACTTCCATTGTCATGTCCATCTCTTTCTACCATTATTACAAATTATCCTCACCTCACTCAGTGTCATCTCACATTCTTCTTCAAAACCATAAAGGAGCGCCAAGTCCGCCACGAGTCTTCCCTCATACCATCACAAAACAAAACAAAACAAGACAAATAGAAAATGAAAACGTCATACACAAAACCAAAAATCAAAGGAAATAGAAAACAGCGCCACCAACAACCAGCAATCCGGCCGTCGCAGCCTTCGCCCTCTGCGGCGCACCAGCAGTCACCGCCGGCGCCGGGACACCGACAGGATCAGCAGCGCTCGTCTCCTTCGCCGGAGACGTGGTGGGCACAACGATGACAGGCGGGTTCGGAGCCGGAACCAGCGTGGTAGGAACGGGCACCGGCACCGGCACCGGAACCTTGGTAGGCAAGACCGTGACAGGAGCAGCAGTGGCCGTAACGGTATCCGTCTCGCAGTCAGTGGACGTCTCCCACTTGTCCGTCTTGTGGTGGTCAGGCTTGGGCTTCTTGGTCCAGGGGCCGGGACGGGGACCGCGGGTTGGGGCAGTGGAGGCTGAAGCTGAGGCGGACTTGGAAGCGGAGGCCGCAGCGGTGTTGGTCCAGTCGGGCCAGGGGCCGTGAGACTTGCTCCAGTGGTGGTGGTCCCAGGTTAGAGTGGTGGAGCCGGTGGTGGAGGGACGGATTGTGGGTGGCGGGAGGGTGGGGGCCGTTGTAGGAGCAGTAGTAGGGGCCGTTGTAGGAACAGTAGTAGGGGCAGTAGTAGGGGCAGTGGTAGGGGCAGTGGTAGGAT